CCCCCGGAGCCTCCTGCTTGCTGTGCGGGGGGAGAAGAGGGGGGCTAATGTCAGGGTGTCCCCCTCCCCCCTGCTCCTGCCCCCCGCTTACCCCATCTCCACAGAGCGGGTGGGGACACGACAGGGCTCAGGGCGGAGGGAGCTCCCTGGCAGCAGCTGTGGGTCTCAGCTTGCTGATTAACGTAACAAGGCAATGTACTTAAGAGTGGGGTCGGCGTACTTAAAGGGGCAATGCACATCTCTCTCTCTCACGCCATCCGAGCGGGAGTGAGGGACCGTCCGCCAAATTGCCACCGAATAGCCGGACGTGCCGCCCCTCTCCGGAGTGGCCGCCCCAAGCCCCTGCTTGCCAAGCTGGTGCCTGGAGCCGGCCCTGCCTAGGGAGGTGGTGGAATCTCCTTCCTTAGAGATTTTAAGGCCCGGCTTGACAAAGCCCTGGCTGGGATGATTTAGTTGGGGTTGGTCCTGCTTTGAGCAGGGGGTTGGACTAGACACCTCCTGAGGTCCCTTCCAACCCGGATATTCTATGATTCTATGATAAACCGGCCTTTCAAAATGAAACGCTGCCACCAGTTCCCCTTGGGTTTTCTTCCAGCTGAAGGTCGTTGGTGACCCCTCCCTGCATGTCCACCCAGAGCCCCCCAGCTCCCGCCAGGGCCCTGCTCGTGCGGCCGACACATCCCAAGTGTTTCCCGGAATCAGCCCCCGCTGGGAAAGGCTCCGGCTGCTTTCGGGTCCATCTGACTCTGGCGCATTCAGGGGACTGGAGCTGCCAGACCCGGCTCTTCCCCCCGCCCGCCCCCTCCAGGACACGGGGAGTGAACGCTGCGGGCAGGTCTGGGAAAGGGGCCGAGACGGGCAACAAGAATATCTGGGGTTGTGAGCCAGCTTCCCTCTGAGGAGAGATTGAAAAGACGGGGGCTGGTCAGCTTGGCAAAGAGACGCCCGGGGGGACGCGCTCGAGGGCTGTACGGTCATGGCGGGTGCGGAGCGATAACGTGACCCGTGCCAGGCGAACCAGGGGCCACCCAGTGCAAGCAGCCCCCAGCCCATGTCCCACCCCCTCAGTCACTGCCCTGGAACATCAGGGATTGCTGGGCTCTGACAGCACCAGCCCCAGAGATTTTGCCCGACATGGGCACGATGCACAATCGAGATTTGTAGCGCCCCCTGCTGGCGCGTTCGCTGTGCGCTAGGTAGTGACACCCGGCCCAGCGTCTCTTCTGCAGAGCGTTCCTGTCAGGGCCGGCTCTAGGCGCCAGCGCTCCAGGCATGTGCTTGGGGCAGCACTTTCCAAGGGGCGGCACTCCAGCCCCCCTTTTTTTTTGCTTGGGGCAGCAAAAAGCCAGGAGCCGGCCCTGGTCAGAGCCCCGCCGCTGGAGAGCCAGAGCATCGTCCCCTGGAGCCGAGCCTGGGCTGCGGTGCCGAGAGGGGCTCCCGGAGTGTGTAAGGAGCTGGGGAGGGAGGGAAGTGGGGCCCGGGATGCAGGGAGGGGGGAGGGGTCCTGCTGCTGTCTCCGCTGCTGCTCTGAGTCTCCTCCCCAGGGGGGCGCGGTGTTTCCCCGCCCGAGGGGGCTGTGCAGGGCACCGCCGGGCTGGGCAGGGGGCGCGGATCCCGGCTCGCGCACTGATGGGGCGAGTGGCTGGGCAGCCCGAGCTGCCTCCTCCTGCCCCCGGACCCAGCCCATCATGCACCTCCCCCGCCTT